AATGATGCTTGAATTTAAAGATTGAGCATTTTTCACAGCTTCGAGAATTTTTTCTTTGCCTTTTATAATTGTTCTGACCGACAATTTTGGTGATCAAACTTCTTTGCCAATTGACAAATTTTCATTTTTGTATCAAAGTCTTTAATGGGTACGTTCTTAAAGTCAAACGAGTTAAACGCGTTAGTAACGACTCGTTCGAAAAGTCTAACGAAATAGGAATAACGATGACTTCATTCTCGCTTAACTCGTTCGACTTTACGAAACGAACATACCCAATGTTAACTTTACATTCCAAAGATAAAGTTTTTCTTTTCTTGTTTGATGCAGAAGAATTAGTTCTACTTTGTTTGGATGACATAGTAGAGTCTCTCGAGTCTCCGTAGATATAACAAACACAGAAATAAATAGCACAAAATAAATTGTAGCTATGTGTGGATTCCGTGCGACACATCCAAACATGTAAGCTTGAACAATAGTGTGGGGGGAGTGAGTAATCAAGGGTTGCGTGGCGCTCAAACAAAAGACGAATTGACGAGATTTGAAAATTGCGTAACTCCGGGTTTGCGTAAGTCGGGGTATTACTGTATTGATTAATTTCAATTAAAAAATTAATTAATATAAAATTAAATTTTATGTTTTATTGTCTATTTTCTAAAAATAGATATCAAGCACAATTAGATGAACGTTATCAAGAATATTATGCTCAGATGTCAAGAGAGACAGATTATGAACGTCTTAGTGTCCATTCTGGTAGAAGTTCAGTAAATGATGAATTGCAAAAAGATAGACAAAACAGGTAATTTCTTTTTATAGTTAATAATTAAAAATATTAAGTTCATGTTTGAGATTTTAGAATTATTTACAGATATGCTGGTGACTTAGATCAGAGTTCTGTAGGTGGATCAGATTATTCAAATTATCATCAGTATGATAGTAATTATGGAGTTGATTATACAAATTCCACAACACTAACTGATCGAGGTTTGTGTTATTTCATTTTTATTGAAGATTTTTAAATGTAATGTTTATTTATTAAGTTATTTAAAATCCAATATTTATAATGGAAATTTAATCTATACTATGAATAAACTATTCTGTATTTTCAATTTCAGTACTTTTTATATATTTTTAAGGTTACATTATTTTTGGAATAATTTTAAATCTGTTACTAAAATTATAGGGAGAAAGCTATAAATTGATTTCAAGATGAAAGAACACTTACATAATTTATTAATTTAAAATTTTTTATAGACTAACATTAAAAACAGTTCTCCTAAATTTAATTTGCAATCATATGCAGTTTGTTTTTTCAGGTTCACATGCATAAGCTAACAATTTTCCTGTGATTTTTCACATGCTGCATGCAGTTGTCATTCTTCAAATTTGATGATTCTGAAAGATCTTTGTAATGTGTCCTCTTTGCAAATGCAAAATTTCAATATTGTTTAGTTTACAAGATATTTTTTTACAGAACAATATTCTTGACTGGGGTCCTATAGGAGGCTCTTTAAAGTTTTTGCTGTAGTGTAAACTAATGTGAAACAAGTTCAGCTGGAAATATATGATACAAGGGCTGAGATGTTTCTCAGAACGATCAGAAAATTATTTTTCTTGTTTTTTGCATGAAATAAGTCTATGAAAATGTTTAAATTGTTGAAGGTCATAGCACTCCAGGCTATCTTACGGAGACAAAGATTCAAAGTCTTAGCAAATTGCAGACTGCCATATCATTATATCATGCATAGCTGACAAATATCCATATCATAACTACCTCTTGCAGTAATCATGTAAGACTTTAATAATGTCATTTTTTACACCAAAAATGACATTATGGAGGTCTTACATGCCATCAAAAATGATGTCAAAGTGGAAAATCACCATCTTATGCATGCGATTATGTGAAAATAAAGAAAAATTGTACATGATTACATGCATAATTTTCTTGAGGGTCTGTGATGTGTGAAAAAAAATTTTTTCAACCAAAATTTTTACACACACGGATATCATGGAAGCACAGCTAAGTAAGTTAATTTGGTGAGAAATACTCATGAAAAAACTGTTGTGTGGAAAATTGCCACTATTACATATGTGACTGTAGGGTCGGTGCATGGGCGTAGCCAGAGTTTTGTTATGGGGGGGGCCTAGTGGAGGCCAACCTGACACAAAATTGAATTATTTCAAATTATTGTTCATTATTGGGCACCGAGCAAGCCGTTCACCTTTTTTTTAGTATTCAAAACTTTTATTTTAGCTTTAGGTTTTTACAAATCGACTCAACACTTTTTCGGCTGTGATTTCCTGGGGAGGGCACCAGGTTCCCTGGGAGGGGCCGTGCCCACCCAGGCTCCCCCCTCGCTACGCCCATGGGTCGGTGTCTCTTTGACACCACATCAGGGTGTGACGACACCGAGTTTCTCAGGACTCGGAAAATGCGACTTTGTCACATGAGTGGTAGCGGGTGAGCGGTTGGATTCAGAGTAGAGGTGAGGAGAGAGAAACGAGGAAGTGATTCACTCAGATTCCATATTAATAAACAATAACAAATTTATTTTAACGGGCAGGAGTACACGATATACGAATCTTATCCATATTTACTTAAATTTAATGGTCGCGAGAGAGAGATTTTACAAACGACTCACGTGTGGATAAATACCTTATATAGAAGTTGAGGATTGATGACTGGATGATTCACAGTCCGGCTTCTTGAAGAGAATGATGGAAGGTTCTTGAGGTTTAGAGTGTTCGGGTAACAGGAGCAACTTCGAAGGGTATCCGACTTTAGGTGTGTANAATGCTAAAAAATCGTTATTTTCATGGTTTTTCAGCGCTATTTTCACTTATTTTTGTTATTTGACGCTATTTAGACGAATAGGCAAGTTTTCCGAAGCATAAAATTGAAGATTTTCCGCCAAAATAGAAACTTCCCGATAACATCGGAAATGACGTTCTAACATCATTTTAAAATATTCGATATCTAAACCAGAAAGTGTTAGATAGAAATAGACTTATTTATAGAACAATCCCCCATTTCTCACCTCAGGGAAAGTCATAAAACAGTTGGGTGCTAATGACATTGTGAAAGGGAAAAAGTTCTACACTTAGAAACTTCGAAAGAAGTGATTTGGCCTGTACCATTCGCGGGCCGCATAAACATTGATAGGGGGCCGTATGTGGCCCGCGGGCCGCAGGTTGTGCACCCCTGCTTAAAGTATCTAATTATCATGATTATATGCTAGTTTTTGGAAATGTTTTCTATTTTATTTTTCTCTCTACTTTCTTGATCCAGTCTTACATCTCAAGGTCTTTTGACTCCATTTATTATTAATATTATCATATTGATTAGTTTTTCTATTATGCTAAATTTTAAGTTCTTTTAATCATATATTTTAACTTAATATCATCTGTCTTAAAATCTGTTCTTTTATTTTACAATTCAGGTGCTAATAGTTTGCATTTAGTTGTATGACAATATACTTTGTATGCTTGTTAATTTGAGGTTTATGGTGAATGAAATTGCCAACCAATATTTGTACCCAAACAGTTGAATGGCTGAAAGATTGGAGATTATGTATATGGGTGGAGATGACACTGAGGCATGACTGTTTACATAAACCATTTATTGATTGAAGAATTGCTTACAAAATTCCATGGCTTGTATTTCTAAGGACAGATAATGTCTGTACAATCAGTCTTTAGGTTTTCTAAGAGGCCCTAGGTCACTAATTTACATCAGCAAATTGTCCCTTGATGGTTCGTTGGTTCTTGGGTGGTGTTTTCAGTGGCACTAGTGGTAGTTGGCAGGAGTTGGATGCTCTTTAATAATGGGATAGGTTGCAATTTGCTGATTGGCACTTAGAATGCCTGGAAGAAGTCTGCCTGTGAATAGGACAATGGATCTTGGGAAAGAACCTCATTCTTCAGACGTGGGTTCTTTCCCAAGATCGCTGGTTTGTCCCCAAATTAGAAATTTGATTGGTCTCGGTTACCTCTCATTGCTTTCCGATTGTTTTGTCATGTTTCTAAGTGAAACTTTACACCAGATTGGGCCATGAGAAAGATCAACACCAATGTTCAATTTGGCACTCATCTCATCACTGGCTGGATGATGATTAACAAACTTTGGAACATTTGCTTGTGTTTTCTGATAGTGTGCTTTATTTCCTGACATTAGGAATCTCATTACCTTCACATGCTTTTTTTAAACAAGATATTTTGTTATTTTGTCATTTTTGACTTCCTTGTCAAACACTATTAAAGTTTCGACATGTAGTTCAAGTCTCACTTGAGACCTCACATGCTCTTATACAGTACTACCTATATAAAATTACTTAGTTTCATTTGTTTCTAAGACATATATTGTTGCTTTCAGATTTGTTTTTGATTTTTAATTATATTGAGAAGAACTAATAATTACACAATGCAGCAGTGAAAAAACTTTTTTCAAAAATGTAGGCGTTCTTTATGTATTTCAACCTCCTGAATTCAAAAATGATACTCAAAACATCGTATCACCCACAGTTTTTGCACAAATCGCATATTTTGCCAATAATATCATATATAGAAGTAGTACGTATATATGGCACACGAATCATGCAGAAGTAGAATATAAGTTTAAAACAACAACATATTGAAATATATACACAGTGAACAGATGCATACAGAGAATGTGGTCCAAAACATGCACTAATATCATTCATTGTGTGCTTTCTTAGTTGTTATGGCGTGGCCCCTGCTTTTCCTCTTATGGGAAATTTCCATTATGTGCTCATGGTGAAGTATCCAGCAGTAGTCGCCCATCATCTGAACATCCCAAGTTCCCTGGTATCATCGTTCCATGTCCTTGATATCCTGATGGAATCTTTCACCCTGTTCCTCACTTACAGCACCCAGGTTTGGAGGAAAAAAAGTCAAGGTGCGAATTTAAAAAATGTAACTTCAAACTCATTGAGCATCCGAGCATTTTGAATTTCATCAGCATGTTCTCAACTATGTCGATATGTTCTGAGCTATGATTGTTTCTCAGAAAGTTTTGAACCACACACTTAAAGGCAGTCCAGGCTTCTCATTCCACGGCATTCATTGAATGAAGGAAATCTTCATCTAGCATTACTTAAATATCGGGACCAGTGAACACGCCCTCTTTCAACTTAGCATCTGACAGGTTGGGGAACTTGTAACATAGATATTTGAAACAGTTGCCACACTTATTTAATGCTTTGACAAACTGCTTCATTATGCCCAATTTGATGTGCAGAGGTGGTAAGAGTATTCTGTCTCTTTCCACTAGAGGGTCACACTTAATATTTTTGTCCCCTGGAACCAATTCCAACCTTCGAGGCCACTGTTTTTGCTCCCAATGTTTGTCACGAGCTCGACTGTCCCATTCACAGATGAAATGGGAACTTGGTATATCCTGATTGTTGTCCTAGAAGCATACTCAACACTTTGAAATCACCACACACCATCCAATTGTGATCCTCATAATGAATGGTAGTAAGAAGTGCTTTAATGTTGTCATATGTTTCCTTCAGGTGCACAGAATGCCCGACAGATATTGAGGCATTGAGATGTTTTCATGTATATTATCATTATTACAAAATATGCGATTTGTGCAAAAACTGTGGGTGATACGATGTTCTGAGTACCATTTTCGAATTCAGGAGGTCGAAATACATAAAGAACGCCTACATTTTCGAAAAAGTTTTTATGACCTTGCAATTTGTTGCATTATGTTATCTATGATCTGTCATACTATAATTCAATAATTTTTTATCTATGAGCCATCTAATTAAAACATGTGAGTTGCAACTCACTATATACTTTATTCAAATATATTGCTCTCATATTCAAATATATTTATGAGAGCAAATATATTGCTCTCATAAATATCACTTGATACTTGTATCAAATATTTCATCTTGTAAATTGCAAAGCAAGGGCAAAGGAAACAGTTCATTATTAAATTCTTATATATTACTTGTTAATAAGGGTCACACTTATTAACGAGTAATATATAAGAATTTAATAATGAACATATATAATAGGAAAATTGTACAATAAAATTGACAGACCAATTGCCGACTCGGTTTTTTGTCTTTTCGCTATGTGGACACTAAACTCACTTGTTAGAGCCTTTTTCATTAAGCCCATTATGGGTTCAGCTCAGAGCCGTTGAGGCCGGATGGCCGAGCTGTCAAGGTGGCAGCCTACCGCTCTGGGGGACCCGGGTTCGAATCCGAACGGGTCGAAAAATCCCCAGGAATTTTTCGGGGGTGTGGTCCTTTCGGATAGGTCGGGTCCCGTCCCTCACCACCCGGCAGCCCCATTGTGGGCCTGGCCGAACCCATAATGGGCTTGCAAAGAAGAGGCCCTCTAGTGCCCACAGGGCGGAAGGAGTTTAACTCTTTCCGTCCTGTAGACACTAGGAGGGGCTGGAGGGCCTCTTCTTGCAGGCCCATTATGGGTTCGGCCAGACTTACAGTGGGGCGGCCGCGTGGTGAGGAGTGGGGCTCGNCACTTAAAAAATTTTAATGAAGATATTTATCTTAATTATGAAAATATAGTAGCATGTTTTTTAATTTTTGGAACCTAACCCTCCTTTTCGTATTAGTTCTTTGTTTCGTATAACACGGTTCGCATAACACGGCAATTTTTTGGAACGTAACTACCGTGTTATACGGGGGTTACCTGTATATATATATATACATTGTATGATGATTGTATATTGATTTTCAGCAGTTTCTTCCTACAATTTTTTTTTGTCAACAGCTTTTGGAAGTTTTATACATTCTTTATTCTTTCCTTTAGTTCAAAGTATCCAGTATCTTTTAGTTCAAAATTTCTGAAATAAAACTTTTTAAACCAGTTTGACACATTTGAAGTTTAGGAATATCTTCCTCATACATATTGCAAAATTTTTTTTGCTGTTTGTACAGCATTTTATCCTTCTCAAAAATTGTAAGCATAATATGCCCGATATGCATTTTATCTGAAGCCATTACAACTTGATTTTATTGAAAGAAAACTTGTTGTAAAAATTTTAAAATAAGCTTCTAAACAAAGAATACAATCTCACATTAGCAATAATGTGCTAAATTTCACAACTGTTATAATTAAATCACACATCTCTATTAAATAAAGACAGCTGTTAAAAATACACAAAACTCTGTTCCATCCAGTATAACTGTTACTTATTATCATGGTTTCCAACAAATTCTAAGAGGAAGGTTGTATATTAATGATTGAGGTGAAAAAGGAACTTATCTCAAAGCATGAAAGTAGTGAATCTGGTAACCATATTTAAGATGCTGAAGTCAATGGTGTGCGATCAGTAAATACAATTTTTATTTTATTATACAGTAATTACATATTTTATTTACTGTTTTTGTGTTTTTATTATTGGAACATTTAATTGTTATTTTTATCTTAATTCATATTAAATCTTAAATTAATTAAAATAAATATAAATTAAATTTATATTTATCTTAATTAAATTATATATTTGCTGTTTTAAGTTTATTGAAATGGGTATTGTGTAGGGTTTGGGAATGAATTCACTTTCCATTATTTTTAAGGGAGAGGATTGATTCCTTCAAATAATTCAGAGTTTAAACTGCCTCCTGGAATGAATTAAATTTAAAGAATGAGGCACCACTGTATATGAAATATACAACCTCCAGTTATGTTTTGATTGAGATAAGAACATGAAAATTTAAACCAAGTAATAAGAAGACAGTTTTTCCATTACATTTTGTTCAAACTGTTTTATTTTTTTTAACTTTTATTTTGCTGAAGTTTCTCATCAATTCTTCAACAGAAGTTAAATTAATATATTTAATATGATAAATTAAAAGTAAGCAGAACTAATAAAATCTAAAAATAAAAAAGCATATTGGAAAAATATCTTTTTAAATAAATAAGCTAAACTGAGTGTAGAATGAATAAAATGTTTTTGTAGATATGAACATTTTACAAACTTTTTAATATTTATCAAAAATTTAGTTACAGAACAATCATCAACATCAAGATTAACACCAACAAAATTTTCCTGTCCACATCCAGTATCATGTTTTAGTCCAGGAGGTTTATTTATTACAGTTTTTCCAAATTTATCTGAAACAGTTAGATCATCTAATGTACAAATACATAGCATGCAGGTAAGTAACAATAAACAGAAAAATAAATTTTTTTTAAATTTGAACAATAAAAATAATATAATGATATATTTATTTGATAAAAAAATCTCAATAATATAATTTTATTACAAAATACATTCAGTTAGTCATAATTACAAATAAATTATTTAGTTAAATATTGAAACACAATGAAACCATGAATGAAAGGAAATGCAGATATAGTTTAATTTTTAAAAATATTTTAATATCAAATATATTATTGCATAGATTTTGCATAGTGATCAAAAATCAATTTTTATGCTTTAAATTAGCCTTTTACATTTTAAAAATAATTTCTTTGCATTTTGTTTTTTGTGATTCATTGTGTTGAGGTTTTTTTTTTAAATTCTTGAAAATATGACCCTCCCTTTTTTTTTACAATATTATTATACTAATCTGAAACCGTGTTATTCTATGTCTTTGTTTCACAAGCACAATAAAGTGCATTCAATCAGACACTAAGCAGCTTTAAATAAAAGGATGAAAAGCTGCTTAATGTCTGATTGAATGCACTTTATCATGCTTGTGAAACAAAAATATTATTTTAGTTTTTAAATTTATATTTTAAACTATTCAAACATAATTAATGCAAATATACAGTGGTACCTTGTACTTCAAATGCTAAATTTGACAAAAGTTCTCCTTGGAGTTTGAACTGCATGCACAGTGAAAAATGCACTGGAAGCATAAATACAATCTGTTGTGTGTCCAAGTTGTCTCTTGCTCTTGTATTATGCTTGTATGTTTTCAGTTTTTTCCCCCATTTTATTTTTGGTGTTTGGTTATACAGGTAACCCCCTATATAACACGGCACTTCTATAGCACGGATTCGCTCTAACACGGTTCGAGAATTGGTACCATCCCCCGTATAACACGGCACTTCTATAGCACGGATTCGCTCTAACACGGTTCGAGAATTGGTACCATCCCCCGTATAACACGGTACTTTTATAGCACGGATTCGCTCTAACACGGTTCGAGAATTGGTACCATCCCCCGTATAACACGGTACTTTTATAGCACGGATTCACTCTGACACGGTTTGAGAATTGGATAAAACCCTCGTACAACAGGAAATGTAATAAATTTTTACATACTTAAGTAATAATAGTTTACGAAAATTATTATTTTCGTGAACTATTAGTACTTAAGTATGTAAATTTTCTCTTCTCGCCTTCTGCTGATACACGTGGTCCTTCTCGAAACTTGTTTCAATGTTGCC